GGACTTCAACTCATCTCCATATCCATCTCGATTACTTTTAGGTGTTACAAACAACTGTTAGGTGAACAAAATTATTATTCTTTGTAGCAACATGTTGCGAGAGTATAAAAACTTTCCTTAAAGTTATTAAATTCTCACATTTTGACCTTATCAATATTTTTCCTATTAATATCTGGATTTTTCTTCGCCTTACCATAGGATGTCCTCCACACTTAGGCCTTAGATTATTTTACGCCCTGTTTTCTGGAAACAATTCTAAACATTCAGTTTTGCCAATTTAATTTTAACTTTGGTAAATTGTTAGTGACAGTCATTTAATATATTTTATAATAAAGTCAGCTTTTTGTATGATTCTTTTTTTGTTTGACTTAAAAGTACTCCATCTAAAATTAAAATGTGAATTTTATTAGATATTGGTAGCACAGTATCAAATGAGGATACATTTTTTAAGTTCGTTTGATTTCTTCTTTTTTTCAATCGAGACATTAGAAAGGCTTTTTGAAGGGAAAATGAGAGCTTCGAAAATAAGATTAAAATGTATGGTATCGAGAAACAACATATCACAACGGTATCTTTGGTCAATAATTTCTCCTAAATTAAATTTCTTAAGAATTTGACTAAAATGTTATTTTTTCTTCTTTCCTTGTAAACATCTTCTTTCCACTTAAAATTTCCAACCAATTTTTGCATATACTTTTATATAAGGTGAAAATTTATATGTTTCAACATAACCAATGCTTCGTTGTATTTTGAACCACACAAACCTCTCTAGAACCGAATTTGTCACCAAAAACGTCAAAACAAATTCGGATCTACAGGGTGGATGTAGAACAGAATGATGTCACTTGAACCGTTATTTTGTACTTATGGACAATACACCTTACTATAGTTTTGTCCCAACTTTCCCACCACTTTTAACTTATGTACGTCTGGAATTGGTTTGTAATCTGTAATTAGAATGAAAAAGTATGAGAACTTATGTTATAATTCATGTTTAGTTGAATGTAAAGCTTTCAAAAAACTTGAAACACTCGATTTATTCATTCGGTTTTGTTTAAATATAGCATTAACATTCACTCACGTATAATCGAAAGTAAAAATAGTTTCACCACTCTCGTGACTGCCACACTGCGGGATGTTAATATTCACCTTAGCACCAGTAAAATGCGTTTTAGCTGGCATTCGACGGCAACGAATCCTTCGAGAGGGATTACTATCGCTAATATCATTAAAAATATGACTAACACAATAGTAAATTCAAATTAATTTTGCAAAGCACAAAATAGATACGCTTTGTTTGTATTAAAGATTGAAGGAATTTACCCACAGGCCACAAAGCAAGCATTGGTGTCTCTACCCGTCCACGATCCAGTATCGACTGAGAACTATGTATTCATCGAAGACTTTATAGATAATGATTCGTATGTCGAAAATTCCAGATAAAACTGTTTGTCCAAGAGTTCAATGCAAATTCCTCCGTCTTCAAACCAAATCAGAAGAGGTTGCATTGTTGACTAGAAAAGAGTTTTAGCTATTTAACATAAAGCATGGAAATCGAGGTGATTTGTTTTATCATATCTATGAAATTATATGGGTGTCTTTGCGTTGAAGACGTATGGAGTTTGCCGATAAGATATTGAAATGAAGAACCACGTATTTATATGAATGTGTGCATATACATACATATGTACATACGTGTGCATATTGTCTTAGACAAACACAAATTCTGCCGAACATTTCGAAAAAGTTGAAAATGTCACCACTCGCATAGAAATATGCCGAATCGAATACAAGTAACATATACTGTACAATTTATTTTATTTATTTTTGATTACATTTGTGGATTAAAAGGTGTCGCCTTTTAGAAACAGTTTTTGTTTGATTTTTATATTACTATCATAACCGACTTACCCCTCTAAGACCGACTGGGTTACTTTACACATACTCTTGCAGCAAGACAAAATAAAAGCGCACAGTGTAAGAAATATGGTGTATGTATGTGGATAAACACAATTATTGTCACAAGTTCTAATAGATACTACTGAACGCTCACACCTCGTGCGCTAGGTGGCCTACTGCCTTTGTTATCAACCTCGAATGAGTAATTAGATCTCGTTAGAACTTCATTGTATGTGTGTGTTTATTTAAAATATTATCATCAATCAATCTCCTCCTTAAATGATTCTCCTGCAATGGGGTTAAGTTCGCATACAACTTAGTGAGTAAAGTGCAATACTTATATTCAAATACTTGTATGTATACGTACGTACATATGTATATGATCACGACCCGTACAAACACACAATTTAGTAATTTTTCAATCGCAAAACCAAAATATTGGCGCCAAAAGTATTCCCTTTTACATATTGGAATATCCAAATGTAATGGTGGTATTCATACCAGTTCCACCTTGCTATAAATCTGCATACGGCTGTGGTCAAAATAATTTGTTAGGTTTTCCTAGATTAACCGACATGAGAAGATTTACAGGGGATCAGTTCACAACGCCGATAACAGTAGTCCAGTAATTTTTATCATTTTATTGTCAGTCTCCGAAGGCGCATTGACATAAAAATATATAAAAATGTTAGATTCAAAAATTAACAAATTCTTTTAGAAGTAATTGTAATATTGTGTAAAAAGTAAAATTAATATTCGGTTTCAGTTTGAATTTTTTTTATCGTTAGAGGGACGTTCGAAATATTGAACGCATGAAGAAGAGAAGCAGTAAAAATACGAGAAAATTACATTGGGATGTTTAAATCAAATCATCGCCCTAAGAACCCTTACTTTCAAAGAAAATTTTAACATATGCCAAATGGAATAAGACTGCAAATTATTTGCTGCAGCAACACACATTATTTTCACGACAACTGTACAAATATATGAACACATATCGATAGATGTAAGATGTAATGAATATATGAAAATTTGAATGTATGTGCACATCGTTAAAGACTTTTAAAAGCAATGATTAAGTTAACAATTCATTTAAACATTTTTCATCTTTTACTTTGAAACTGCAGGAAGTATCCGTTGAATTTGATTGTTATGTTTCCACAAGGTTCATAAAGAGCAATTTCAAATTAATTTTCATTAATAGTCATGACTTTTAAATCTTATTGTTGATTGATTATTTAGAAATTCGTTATTGTATATACAAGTATTCGCTATTTCGATCAAATTGGTTAGCTTAGAGCTTTTTTGCTCGATCTGATCAAGCAACTGCTATTAGAATATATTCAATTTATTATTTAATATTTAATTCAATTAACTTGACATTTTTTTATAATATTTTTTGTAGTTTCAATACTTTACCTTTTTGCGTCCGAAGCGTGGTTGGAGTTGCCACTAAATGGATATAATGTAACCCTTGTAGAGTTGTTTTCAATCCACCTGAAAAAAATACTAAAAAATATGTTTTTATACTTTTGAATTGAAAATTGTATAAAATTAATTAAAAGACAAGTAAGGAAGTTCAAAGGTCGGGTATAACCGAACATTTTATACTGTTGCCAAGATTAATAGACGGGCAAATACTTTCAGGTTTTGGAAAAATTTATATTAAAAATTGTTGCGAAAGAATTCAATATTCATTATTTGATGAAAGGGTGGAAGAATTGCAATCATGTTTGTTATCTTAATAACTAATATTATAAGTCTATCCTACCTACTTATTCTCATTACTATATTTCGCTTCATATCCGATATATTGGTATTAAAATCAACCTAGTTAACTCAAATGAGTTAATATCACATAACTTAACCAAATAGTGGTCGTCGACCGATTTCAGACATTTTCTGTTCAATCTTATACGTTCACTTAATTTTGCTAAGACACCTTACATGATGCGTGATATACTTATATAGTATAAAGAGAACCAGAAGTTTGAAGTCCCTATATTGATTATTAATTTTTGGCATTAAAACATATTATTACCAGAAAAGGACGCGCTATGGATTAAATTTAGAAACCTCGCAGATTGACCGATATATATGTTTAAAGGTCGAATTTCAATAATATATCTCACAGATTGATCACCACCATCTTAGGTATATTGAACAGTTATGATCCGATTATGACAAATTTTAAACTTCAGAAAGCATATTATTAAGGGTGCTGGATTTGTATGTATACTGGAAAGTGACAGAATCAAATGAAATTTAAAATTATGTTGTATGGGAAAAAGGCGTAGTAGTGATTTGATTATGATCATTTCACACCGTAATGTAAGAATGTTCGTATAATCTTACGTACCGAATTTGATTGAAATTGCTCTAGCCGGTCCTGATATATGGGATTCCACCTACCAATCTTGATACTGGCTCCTATAAACCCCATTCGTATCAACTCGGGCGTAAAATTTGATGCCTCTGGCGCATTTGTATACTTATTAAGTTATCGCACTTTTAGTAGTTTTCAACTTAACCGTTATATGGGGATTCGTTGGACATACTAAATTGCAGTTTTGTATCTTATTGTGGGGTTTAGTTATGGTACTCTGTAAATTTTCGATTAATGGCGTTTTGTGGGCGTGGCAATGGTCCGACTACGCCTATTTGCAATTCTAATCTTCTTACGGTGTTTCATCAAGACATCTAAATTTTCACTCAAATTACTGCTTGCACAAACGCACGGACGGACGGATGGACAGACAGATATCCTGATTTCAACTCGTCTCGTCATTCTGCTCATTTCTATATACATATATAACTTTATATCTATCTCGATTAGTTTCAGGTGATACAAACAACCGTTAGGTGTACACAACTATTATACTCTGTAGCAACATGTTGCGAGAGTGTAATAATAATATATGTTGCATATTTAGCAGGTTCTTTCGGAAAACTGGGTATTTTCTGTTCAGACTTGAAATCATTAACAAAACTATGAAATAGGTTTATTCAACTGCTTTGAAAAAAAGTTAAATTAGACCTAAATCAAGTTAGAAAACAATGAAGTTGAGCTAAAATTTAAAATAATTAATGTCAAAGTGAGATTTTAAATATTTGTCAGACATAGGTATAACGTTTATTTCCTTCTTCGAGAATTATTATCTTTAATAAAATTAATTTGTCAATAAAAAGTAAATTTTTGGGAAATTGTTAATAAAAAACCAAGTATGCGGGTATATCTTCTTGTCACGGCTTTAAGGAATGATCATCAATGTTAAGGTGATTTGGGGAACTAATACTGCTGACTAATGTCCCAGTGCACAGAAAGCAGCAAATTGAAAAACGTAGATATGTGTGAAGTTTTATGTTATGAAAGCATAAAGGCTGTTTCTCAGTATTCATAAGATCCGTATTACAAAGCCACCCGTTGTCATTAGTTCGGTTCCAATGAAAATCGAGCTGAGCCCACATGGTTCGGAGCCAGCAGCTAAAGCAAGATAAAATCGAGAGATAGAGAAAGTAAACTCTAAATAAAAATTTAATGTTATCGTCAATATGAAATTACTCGACATACTTGTATAAAATAAATCATTACAACATGCAGAGCGTAGCGGCACAGCAAGAAGGAGATAAAGATAAAAAGGCTGCATTGAAATTCTTTCTAATTTTCCAATACCAGCGGGTTTTCCGACGACTTAGGACTAGTGCAGCACACACACACATCAACAGTAGTAAAACATATGAGTATTACAATGAATTATAAATAGTTACCTCCGCCGGCGTTTAAAATGTTTGTCGTTGTTCCTTTTGCTTATTTGTTGTTTCAGCAGTAAAGTAGGTTAAACGTTGCCAATTTTATGACTTTAGCACCATTGATCTGGTTATTTAGTTTCGTTCATAGGTACAGCAAGGCGTTTCCCGTTGAGCATTAGTTCTCTGAAAAGTACACAAAAAGAGATAGGAAGGTAAGTAATACCTACTTAAGCCAATTCATTAGGAGTTTTCAGAACAACACGTATTACAATTCATTACTGATTGTTTGTCCAAGTTAGTCTACAACTTATTGGCTTATCAATTTAGTTGGTGCGATTTTAAAATGATTATAAAGTCAAAAAGCTCATATAGAGGTAAGATTTATGCGTATATTTCCCAGTGTGTACACTGTTCCACAAACACATATGCATTATACCCACTTTTTATTCGGCGCCACCTCTAATAGTGTGCTCTTGCTCTTTCACTCTCCAATCGTCTGTTCTCTCGCACACACACTCAATCAGTTCTGTTCGCCTTCGTCCTTTCAGCACATTGAAGTACACTTTTAATGGTTTCTATGCAGCGTTGCAGACACATTACAACAATATAAAACACAGGGGTAGGTAGACATGCGTACACGCATGTGTGAGTAACATTGTCCTATACTTGTATATAAAAATGTGATATGCAGTAATTACAGTGGTAACTCTCTTACTCCAACAGAGCAACAGTAGATTATACTCGTCTAGTAAATAAGTAGATAATAGGGAGTAATCGAAACATTATACCTAAATTTTCTAATGAAATTCTTTGGGCTTTTATTTTATAACTTTTAGTAAACAGTTAAATTTTTCCCTTAAACTATATGAAAGTTAATAGTTGTGAAATGTTATTCCAGCTATTATATATTGTATGCAAATAATTATTTTTTCGGGGTTGCTTCAATAGTCGATAATAAACTTCTAAGGATGATATTATATTAGTTAATTAATTCCTGATTCGCGATACTCAATTTTAATTGTCTTAACTTGTCTATATCTAATGAATAAAAGGCCAAATTTGGAGTTCATAAACATTAATATCCACTGAGTTGATGATCTGTTAGAATAGAATTTGTTTAAGATTTAAATTATTTAGAAAACTATTCGAAACGCATATATTTTAACGTATAAACTTTATTTACATTCAAGCATTGTGCATTTTAAAACTAAATTGGGATGAGAGCTAAAATAAAGAAGAAAAGTTATATAAATACGTTGATTTAGTCGCTTTGAAATAACATGGAGCCAGGAAAAACCTATTGTGATTTTTTTTCAAACCATAAAAAAGCTCTGCAAAGCAGTTGAATACACTGTATGAAATTACTGAATTGTACTTGCGAAGATTTTTATACATTAATAATGCATGCATACTTATGAGTGTATATTTTGTAGGGCATTTAACATATAACTGCTATATTGTATGTAAATAACTGTCTCAATTCGGCGACTGATAATTAAATTCACGTGTCAGGCGATTTAACACCAATGAAGCTAATGAAAAATATTTGATCACGACTAACTTTGGTTTCATCTTACTAAATATAAGCACACATACCCACATACTACATCTGAATATGTATGTATAAGAAGAATGAAAGTATGTATCATGTATGCATCCTTATGTATGTTAATGTATCCTCAGTGCTAATACAGTGATCTTTAGTTACCAAAACAAAAAATTAAGATAAAAAAATTGTTCAGTTTTAACTCATAAAGCGTATGACCTTTTAATTTTGAAAAAAGTGGAAATTTGATTATAAAAATGTCCTTGTGACTGAAAATATGACAATCTCCGTTGGACCAAAAAAATGTGAAAAATTAACACATTCAATTGGATGGGATTCCATCATAAAACAATACAGTTGTTTATAAACCGAAATAGTTATCCGGTCTCTATATATTCCATTTGTTTTTAAAGTTATAGAGTATTACAAGCAAGTCAAAATAATTTTAAAAATATAGTAATATTTAAATACCATAAATATTTATTACAATTCCTCCAAAATATTACCCCGAATCAAAAAATATACTTGTGGCAGACTATTCAACTGCGATCAAGCTCATTATAATACGTTTATAAATATATGTACCTACATACATAGAAACGAAAATATATTCATATACATTATTTTTAAACACATATTTACATATATGTATGTGTTGGTATTCTCGATATTCGTAGGGAGTATTTACTTGGTGCGCGATTAACACAACATAAGCGCCTATTCATTCCTTTGCCGAAACGTTGGAACAACGGAGTGATCGCGAAATTACAATTTCCTTCAGTATCTTATTGTGGCAAGTTCACTCCGGTAGTTAAAGCCGGTTTGTTGTTTACAAACATGGAAGCTGTGCATTCCATTAATAAAGATCATTTACCCCAGAGTCGGCAAAATAAAATGCAGGTATGTAGGTATATGGGTTAGAAACATGACTAGGGACAAAAATATCTGTTCATATATACCTACATACATGTACACGTGTATATACATATGTGATTCAGCATTATACCGTTGAGAAGTCAACAGATTTCCCAAGAGCTTCGCTACTGAGTTTCATTTAATTTATATGAAATGTTTTTAAATAGGGTGACTTTCTGGACACAGTTGTAGTTTTTGTGTCGAATATTTTTACTATCCATATAATCTATCCCAAATAAATCTTGTTCAAGTATTTTGAATGTATTTTGCAATTTTATTATTATGTTATATTACTTGTATTATTGTCTGTTAGTGATATTTTTTTTCGCAATTGGATCACTTTCATTTTAAAATACCAAATTTTATTATACATATGTACATACATACCTCGTTTGCTTATTCTTTTTAATTATTATTAAAATAGTTTCCTAATAAAGGTGAGATATTGCACGTGAAGGAAATATTGTTATATGACAAACTACTACTTCTAAGAATTCAGAATCATGGCTTCACTAAAATCGGACTTGAATAAAAGGGTATGAAAATAACAAAAATGAAGTTGGATCCATGCTAATTTTCAATATAAGGGCATTTTAACTGAAACAACTACACACACTTCCGCAAAAAGTTAATTGCTTGGTCTACATGTTGTTCAAAGCAGTTATATTATCCGACGGTAGAATACTTGTATTTGGCTTTGAATTTTACAGATATGATAGAAGCGTTTACCTTTGTCGAGCTTCTCCTCCAATTTGTAGGGTGTATGAAGTTTCATAAAATGTCTTTTTTTGACAGATATGCTCTCCAAGTTAAAACATATATGTACATAGGTTGTCTGTCGAGGCTTGATCCCAACTAGAAATTTAAAGTTGTAAGTGTATAACAGTAATTAAATTGATAATAGTATACCGACGATATTGGGGAAATATTTTATTTGGAACACCCTAATGATACAAATACAATTGACTTGGGCGATTACTACGTATTTTCGTCAAAGAATGGATGTTGCGAAAGGTAATATTGAAAACAAAGCAGAGGACAGGTAATCTTTGCAACATATAGCGCTCTCGCACACTGAAATCGTATGAAGGTTATCGCCGCATGTTATATTTGTATGCCGGTTTGTTATTGTTGTTAAACATTGCGCGAGTGGCAAGGTTATAAAGTGGATATATTCGTGGAACGCGAAAAACAGAATGCACATGCGGATACAAACCTTGTCATGCATTGTACCGGCGTGTGCGCGCAAATGCGACCGCCAACAATAAATGAACAGTTGACTTTCGCCTCCGCCTGGGCATACTTTTGTTTTCATTCCTTCATATTTTAGGTACTACCTCTTTGAACAACGTTTGTAGTTTTCGAAATAATGTTAATCGCCTGACTTTGTATTACTATGATAAACAACTGAATAACAAGATGTAAAAAAAAAAATCGAAAAATAGAGGAGTTGAAAAAAGGTTTCCGTTAACAATACATATATTTATGCTATGAATCTATTACTGTAATGGGAGAAATAAAATGGTTTTTAAACCTAAAATATTTTGAGCGTATTGTTTCATTTAGAAAAAAACAATCGTTTCAAGAAATTTCTTGAATGCAATTATTTATGGTCGAATTAAAATATAAAATAGCATGTAAAATAAATAATTAAAAATTAGCAGTAAGGTGATATTCTTCTTATAATATAAGTTTGTTTTATTGTTAGACTTTTTAACATATTTAATAATCGCTTTATTAATAAATAATTATATTTTTTCAACGTTGTTTAATAGTTTTGTATTTAATTTCAGTTAGAGCATGTTTTGTTTGGGTGCCTCGTAACGTTTTAAATCACTCACGTATATGTTAATAACGTGAGTTGTGATAACAGCAACACAACAAAGTACAAAAACTAGCTAATATGGATTTCTTTGGCTTGAATCAACTAAAACGTAGTTGAAAATTGACAGACAAACTTTTCGCGTCGTCAAACACACACTACTTGACATATGGAAATCAAACTTCACACGGGTTGGTTTTACCAAATATTTTTACTTTCAGTTTGCACACGCGGAATATAAAATGACCAGTCCGGGCCAATTTTGATCTTATGTAAAATATTCAACAATTTGAAAATCTAGTTTAATATTCTCTGTCGCTAGTAAACTATTTATATACATACATGCTAATTCCCAATTGTTTTCACCTAAAACAAGCAAAAGAACATTAACTAATGTGACTAAAGACTTTTTGCATATCTTACAACAAAAGTTTAACGGCAATAAATAGTGAGATTTAAGCAATAAAAAAATAAATTAAATACAAACGCTGAAGCCTTTGTTGCTCATTATGCGATGGGTTGATTTAAATTTCAACCTACATTTCTTTGAACGTTGTTGCCCTTAATATGCTCACATTTGCTCTATTTTAATTACCGCACACTAATTTTTTTAAATTGATAATATTTTAATAAATTATATAATCAGTAATTAATTATAAATATATAATAATTAATAGCAAATGAGAAGGGGATAAGTTCGGGTGTAATCGAACATTTTATACTCTTGCAACTTCAGTTGAAGTGGAAAACGTCAACCAAGAATCGGAATTCATTATGTTAGGAATAGGAGGTTTACACCAAGGTCTAGACCAACTCCATAAATTTAAAGGGCTAAACTATTAATTTAATTTTTAAATTTTTTAGAAAACTTCTCCACATCATTTTAATAAAATATAACATATTTTGATCAACCTAAACGTTCCAAAGTCAGGGAAATTACTATAAAGGATCTTTGGCGACAGAGAAAGGCCTAAGCTTATTGCTTGGGAGTTGGAGTAATTCGTAGACTAATTTCTGATATTTTCGGCACTAAACTATAGTACTTCCAATATTATACATTCCGTTAATTTTGTTAATCTATCTGACATATTGAACTGCTATATATGGTGTAAAGCCAACAGGAAGTTTGAGAATCTTATTAGGCATGTGGGGGATAGGGATAGCATTGGATGTTTGAAAATTCTGATATTAGTTACATGGGGCTAGGGCACTTTTCACCTGATTATATCTATTTTAGGTACAAATATACACTGTCGTTAGGAAACACATTCTCGCTTTTTTATTAAGATAACGTTCATGTTGGCCGATATATGCGGGATATAGTAAGCCGAAAGTTCGAAAATCTTTCTATAAGGTATATGGGGACTAAAGGAATTATTGATCCGATTTAACCCATTTTTGGCATACAGGCATATTATTAGCAAAAACAGATTCTCTCCGAATTTCTATGATATATTATAGACACACCTTGACCGATGTTTTCGATAAAAATTTCGGAATAGGAAGTGGGTTCCACATATTCGGTACAAGGGTCATCAAACGTATTATTCGTATAAAGCTTTATAACGTTATATTCATTAGTACCAGATTTGTGTATTGGAAGGTGAAAGAACCAGATGAATTTAAAATTGGGTTATATAGGAGTAGGCGTGGTTGTGGTCAGATTTTCCACGTTTTATCACTGAGCATGAGAATATCAAAATAATGTTACCTACCGAATTTGGTTGAAATTGGTAAATCATTGTCCCGAGATATGGGTTTTCACCTAAATGTGGGCGGTATCACGATAGAAATGGAAAGTTTGTAATTACTATGGAAGCTTGAAATTTTTACCAGATTTACCTCTGCTCGTTATTTCGTTTATAACCCACCGTGTCTCTGAAATTTATCAGCCTTGACAATATTAGAAGCGTAATAAACAATTACTTTACAAAATTCAAAAAACGTTAACTTCGGTTGCACCGAAGCTATAATATCCATATGGTAGCTACAGCTGTGTTCAAAATAATAGGAGTGCCCCTTAGAAAAATATTTGATCTAAAAAATGTATCATGTCAGAACATAAACGCCAAGCACTCTTTAAGCAATAATTCTAACGGTATTCTGCGAGTAGTACACAAATAATAAACTTCACCTATTTACTTTGATGGGATTTTGTAAAATTTAAGCCGATAAAACTTATAAAGAAATTAAAAAGGTATTCGGGTGCTCTGATCAAATGATGGCAAATGCACAGTTCTACAAAAATAAACATGAGACACATGGGCGAAAACGCAAAACCACTAGAGAAGTCGATCGACACATACACCAATCGCCTAAAAAATATTCTAAAGCATCTCCTAGAAAAACAAAGGAGCGCTTAGATCTTGATATTAGTGACGTAACAGTTCGTAGACGTTTACTGGAAAACAATTTATTTGCGCAGAGTCCTCGAAAAGTTCAATTGTGGACAAAGAAACACATTGAAGCACGTCTTCAATTTGCCAAAGGATCATAATAATGGGCCAACGGAGAAATAGAGCAATATTTTGCGAACAGACGGATGTAAGGTGATTTTATTTGGTGGCGCTGGGTCTAGGCAGTATGAATATTCCATAGAAAATCTATGGGCAGATATTTAAAAACGTGTTGGTGATCGTAGACCATCAAACACATGGTAATTATGGACCACAGCTTACGAGACATTGCAACAAATCCCGCAGAAAATCAAATAGTCCATAAACTCATTGGATCGAATTATTGGCGTTTTTATTTAAATAATTTTTTTTCTTGTTTCACTTAGTATTAATAAAAATTTAAAAATGCATAAAGAAATTGTATAAAATGAACAATTCGTGGATAAAAAATCAATGAATGAAATTCATGTTTTTATTAAAAAATATAACTTTATGTTTTATTGAGACCCGATCTAAATAACTTTTATTGACTTAGACGATAAGCAATGCCGAATTTCGTGAAAGCATCTCCTCAAATGAAAAAGTTGTCCCTACAACCACTCGATTCCGATCGTTGAGTTTTTTTTGCAGCTGTATGCTATAGTGATTTGATTCGAACAATTTCTCCAGAGATTGCACCAATGCCTTAGGCAATAACCTATGGCAATATTTGTAAAGAGTTTGTAAAACTTATCCATACTATCACTTGATTCCGATCATTCAGTTTGGGGCAGTTTTTGGGGAGAGAATTACGTGTGCAAATTTTTAGAACGATATCTTCAAAACTGAGGGTACGACGGACATAGACATGGACGAGCTTCATTTATACATACAAACTTAGTATACCCTATTCAGAGTAAAAAATACTGACGATTTTATTCCATACACAGTTTATTTCGGAGTCACTTAACTGCCATTGAGATGGCAGAATCATAGAGCCGCAATATAACATCAAAAGGAAAGAATTGTTTTAGATATCTACATCTAAAATAATCCAAAATGAATTAAATCAATGAAAAAAAACTAAGTCACAAGTATTTAAAACTTCACTTACATTTAAGCTTCCACTGATTTAGTCTTACGATTGAGAAAAATAAATTAGGGAAGCAGAAAAAGAGGAAAAGTTTTGGTTTGAGATATACATAGGGCACATACATATACATAGGAAGCATTGAACCACTTAATATTGTATAATTGCTTTTCTTTTTTGACAAATGAAATTCAAGTATTTCGAAACATATTCCCGGTATTAGAATGGCGTCAAAAAAAAATACAAATATCTTAACTTTTTACTAGCGCTCAGTTAAATACTTCGAACGTTTTACACACATATAATACAGATACACTTTCTTGTATGACCTTCCTTAAAATTGGAAGCCAAACGTTCAATTACAAGAATTCAGCCGCCATGTTGCACACATGCACCCATCCTGTAGTAAACGATTGTGTTCACGCACACACATAGAGCCAAGAGCTCCGTTTATGCACACATGAACAACTTTAGACAGGCTGCTAGTCAGGCAGGTACGCAGGCACTGTGGAAAAAAGACCCTGTTCATTGCCTCCGAATGACGGTGGTAGGGTTGCAAAACTTTAATAGTTAACGTATGCTTACTTGTCAATGGATAGGGGAGAGCGAGAGATCTCTTGGCCCAGTGAAATGGATTGCAACTATGTCTGGGAAAAACGAGTGTTTAAGTTCCACATGGGTTACATTCACTGATATCCGGTAACTGTTATGGGTAGCTCCATCATTATTATTTTCTATATTTTTTGGCTCCTCTGTTAATATTTTAGTATACCTAAATGATGAATTAATACTTAAGAGTCAGACAAGTGTCATCATTGGCGCTTATGGATGGGACTAAGCTAATTTAAGGGTGGATTTTAATTCAGGTTCCTTCTGTTCTGACGTTTATACAGCGTCAGAAGTAGCAATGGTTGTTGGTCTTTCTACTAAGGTGTTAATAGCAATGCAACTTTTAACATCAGCGGCAATTTCACGGTAAAAGGCATGTGCAAATATAAACATTAACGGAGGTGGTGGACTCTCTTTTGTGTTCTGTCTTTCTTCGCTCTGGGCTTATACGAGTAGAACAAAAGTGGATGAAAAGCTTTTACATGCTGAAAGTTAAACAGATACAAGAACAGTGCAGGGGTGAGAAAGATCTAGTCCTGTTGACACTAGACTAGACTATTATAGTGGCAAATTATTGTGTTTTTTACACGCGACACATATGTACATATTTTCAGAATTATAGTTTATTAAATAAAAACCATCATCAATTCCATTTGTACGAATATGTAGTATTATATTCTAGTAGTTCTTCGAAAATATTCAAAATTACGTTTACACACATCAGTTAAGTACTTTGCGAATTAGTGCTTGTATGCATAGGTAGCTTTTATGTAGGCGAAGCAAATAATGGTATGAGGCGCGTCTGCGCAATAATCACAGGCGTTCTTTTTTGCACTCTAAACTTTTTTTATTGTCGGCGATTTTTGACACAACTTTTAAGTTTGTTCAATTTTCATTTCTTACTTTCTGAATATACATACATACACATCCCAAGACTGTACTTACCAAATTTCAGTATCCGTTTTATTGCCTATAATTCTATTTTGTGCTGTTTAAACGATTTTTTCTATTTGCAGGAAACGTTTATTAGTGTTTCCGATGTTTATAATAATTTTAGTTATTTTTTAATATTATTGGATATTAAACTCGACACAGGCTAGTCGAAAATCACCTTTTACTGAACTAAAAGTTGTTGATGTGGTAGCAGCTTCAACATCTAACCCTGGATGTGGATACTTCTGTAATATCCGCAATAGTTTGCGACGGCATTGCGCAGAATGACGCAGTGTCACTAAAACTTACCCACAGAGACCCTTTAACTTCGGCGTTTAATTAACAACTGAAGTATTATATCGAGTTGCTGTTCACCACATGTCTGACCTCGTCGCGCTCAACCAATGGTGTGGAATCTGCTAGGTAGAGAGCGGCAACAATGAGCATAATAAATGATACACACAACAAAACAAACGCAGTAAACGGTGGTAAATATTCGTACGAATAAAATTTTTAGTCTGAATAAATTTTCTAACAATAGCAAAAACAAACTGCTACAAAATACGAATACAAAAAACAAATGAACACTAAATAGTTAACAGCAAATCAGAGCTCTAGCAGTAGACTGTAATCACTCCAGCTTAGCTTTAGATACAGTTATGTACAAATGAGTTAGCAACTGTATGCACACACTTAGCACAAGATAAGAAGAGAGCAAATAAAAAATGCTTCAATGCAATAAATTAGTAAGCGATTGTCTGAATTGAAAGCGGGCATATTTTAAGAGACGCTGACATTTTTCTAAGCATGAAATGTTATTACATAATGCAATTAACACTACCTGAGCGAAACATTCGATATACTTGTACATATCTCCTCTCTAACTGACAGTAATTATGTTTACTGAGGAAATCAAGGCGTTTTTTTGTTTACTGTTTTACAATGCCTTCCTATTCTACATGACTGACTAGTGAGCCAAGATCTTCGACCGCCAGCTCGAATGATGAAGACAAGATTGCGACACCCAACGTCATAAACGAAGCAAACTGTTAAACTTTCATAACAATTGTAAAGAAAGCATTGCCCTCATTTCCTTCATAAGGTAACGTACGTATTTTTTGCACTTTAAAAAAAATACCGGGACGAAACGAATATTGTGTCCTCTATTTCTAAATGTGATACACAGTATAGTCATTGTGCTCTACTTCACCCAATTTTCGAAAAGTTCTTACTGTATGGACGTCCTATGAAGAATCAAAACGGGTCTGAAGACAACACATACAAGTACTATGTGTGTTATTTCTGACAAAAACGAATCTCTAAGTGCGAGTGAAATATTCTATTAGATTCGTTAAACACTTTATTTTGTTTTGATATATATTCAATAAGTGTTGGCTTGATTTCACACAAGTTGAAAAAAAATATTGTGAAAATGCAAAACGAGTTAGGGGAAGCAGGGTTAGAGTGGATTACTCACATATTTAGTCATTCTATGTAGCTCTTCCAGAAATGTATGTTCATATTCTAATTTAATTCAGTACCAAAAAGCTTACGGTTTTTATCAAAATTTCGACCGATTCAGAGACATATTTCAAAAGCTCGTGTTGGAATGTATGCTTCACACCTTTTCTACGTTTAAGACTGTGAAAGAAACCTTATAAGGACAATTCTACTTAGTCTGGTGTAACGATTCTTAAATAAGAACTTTCTAAATATTGTAAAGGGGAAAAATATACTATTTATTGAACGTTGAAATAAATGTACCGCATCACATCATAAATTATAAAATTCTGTCAACGAGTATACATCGTATGATACATAATATAAAATCGCTTAACTGACAAGATGATTTTAATGGTTCCAGGGATAGTCGTTCGACATCTCAAAAAAGTGCATATAAATATTGGGAAATTGTATTTGGAATAATTTAAATTTATATTTATAAATTGTACTATAGTAAATTATACAAATAGTCTTCATAAGTAAAGTTAACATTCTAGTCACATCGCCATAGATAAACAGTAATTTTTTGACTACACCTAAGACACGTTATTCTCTTCTCATTACATTTTCATTTACATATATGTATGTATATATGTACATAAACGTATTTGTTGTTTACATTGATATTACTTAACTTACCTAAATTTTTTTTTATTAGTTCAGTTGGTAGATTTGAAATTACTCAAATGATTAATAATACAAGTTTTTTGAAACAATTCGTCCTTTGTCAACACACGCATTAACAATCATCAATGTTTCAACAAGCATCATCTGTATCAAATATACATCATATACATATGTATAGATCTCTGTTATGTTAATACCTACATAGGTACATATATTACTTTAAACAGAAATTATTATGCTTCTTGAGAGAGTTAGAAGAAACTGGCGATATTAAATTAAACTAGTTGAATACTGAGAAGTATCAATTTACCCTGCATAACTTTTACTTTTTATTCTGCATAACTTTTTTTTTAAATTTAAATTAGTTACAATTTTGACGATTACAGGGTATAAATTTATCGAATATGTTCAGGTTGTTAAATTATAGATATGTTATAAATTTTCTCGTTATAACATTTACAAACACGTTAAGTGTTTAACTATTGAGGTGAATAATTATAATTAGAAACACAATAACCCTTGGCGTCAATATTTAGTGAGTATTAAACAAAACTCAAAGTCACTTGCTATAGTTGTCAGTGTTGGTAAGAAAAAAATAGTGGTAGCAATAGGTTAAAACCATTGCTGTTTAAACATTATTTTGAGGTTCTCTGCAAGAACACGAGAACACCTAATTGCATTATTGTGTAGCTTATTTTGCAGTATTTGCAATGTTCTTTTGTGTGTATTTTGTTCTTGTGGAAACAAGAATTGGTATTGGGTATAAATATCAAAAATCAAGTAAACAAGGTTCAGGTGCAACCGAACATTTTATACTCTCGCAAGAGATTTGGTCGCCAAGATCAAAGCTCGGGGAAATACCTTCAGGTTTTAGCAAAGAATTGTTGCGAAATAATTCGGCAATCATTATTCGACGAAATCGTGAATGGATAACAATCAACTTTGGTATCTTATTAACTTATATTGAAGGTCATGTACTCACTTAGGGTTAATAATTTATTTTAATCGCGTCAACGAAATTTTATATTAAAATTATTCTTAAATGAGAAATATCTGATATAAACTCAAACGAAGAGGAGCTGAAAGAGAGAAGATCGCATTTCATTACATTAGCCATAAAAGGTTTAGACCTTTAATTTTATTAAAGTATACCACATTTTGTCAAGTGGAAAGTCGGAAATCATATATGCTACATATATTGGCGGCAGGTATACTTGAGAACATATTTTCAAACAATTTTATAAATACAAGGTGCAATTCAAAAGTTTCAGGACTTTTATTAAAAAACGAATATTATTAGTTTTTTTTTGAAAAATTTATTGGTCGCCTTCAAAATAGTCTCCTTCCAAATGAATACAACGTTTTGCACGTTCAAGAAGGTTATCGAATGACTTTTTATGTCATTTGTCGGTATAGCGTTCAGGATGGCGGTCGTCGCCTTTTTACTGGCATCAACGTCAGCATAGCGGTTTCCTTTCATGGCCAAATGTAGTTGCCATATCAGGCGAATAGGGTGAATGGTTGATGATATGAATGCGATTTTTGGTCAAATTGAATGTTGAATTCTGAGGTCTTTTTCGTGTTGTTTCAAAGTGTACGGGACAAATCGAGCACAAACCTTTCTGAGGCCCAAATTTTCTGTCAAAATACGATAAATCGACGCAGCGGATAATGATAATTCCGATTCCATATATTTAAGCGATGATTTCGGCTCCTTTTTAATGAATTCACGCACAATTTCCGTGTTTTTTTCGTTCACAACATCTTTTGGCCGGCCCGAACGTTCGTCGTCTTCCAAGTCCTCCCGTCCCTCTTGAAAACGTTTCAACCACTCGCGAATACGGCTACGGGATAGACAATCATCGCCATAAACTTGTTTCATCATTTGATGAGTTTTGGTAAAAGTTTTACGAAGTTTAAACCAAAACTTAATGTTGGCTCTTTGTTCGATGCTCATTTTCCGACCGACACTACAAATGTAATGTCACATGTAGCGTGATATCTCAGCTGTTATACAAGTCAGCTGTTATATAAACTGGACGACATATTCGTCATAAAGCTTGATAGAAAAACGGAACTCATTATATGTAGTATTGTATATGGAAGTGGAGGTAATTGGATATATGGATTAAGACCAACCGGAAGTTTAGAATTTGTATATTAGGTATATGGAGTCTAAAGGATGTATTGACCCGGTTTTTATCAATATTTGGCAATATCACATACCATTAACATGTCACATACTAATAATATGCTACCTGAGATTCATTAAGGTACATTTACCATCACCAATATATATGGAGTAAAGTCAGTCGGATGTTCGAAAATCGTGATATTAGTTATATGGCGGCTAGGGTAAGTTTTCACCCAATTTTAACCATCTTAGGCACAAAGATACAATGTTATTAGTAAAACACGCTCTCTCGTTTTCACAACGTAACTTATATATTGGCTAACATAAAGTAAACCGGAAGTTCGAAAATCTTTGCATTAGGTATATCGCGGCTAAGAAAAGCCATTATCCGATTCAACCCGTTTTTGACATATGGTACAAGCATACGATTGTCATACTACGATAGGCAAAGTTTTTCCCGATATATTTATTGTTGGTTGATTTTACTGGAAAGAGAAAGAATCATATAGAATTTAAAATTGTGTTATATGGGAAGTAGGCGTAGTTGTAGTCCGATTTCGCTCATTCTCGCACTGAATAATAAGAATGTCATGACAATATTACATACCGAGATATGGATTTTAACCTAAATGTGGGCGGATCCACGCCCATCGTTCAAATTTGACACCGGTTCTTATTAAGCCCTGTCGTATCATATCAGGTACAAAAGTTTTTGTCTCTGAAGCATTGAGTTATTAATTTATTGTACTTTTAGTAGTTTTTAACAAAAATGTTATATGGGGAGTGGGCGGGCTTATAATCCGAATTCACCTATTTTCACAGGATGGCGAAATTGGTTATTATAGCTTGAATGGTTTAGGAGATATGTTCAGTAAACTTATTAAGAGGCGGCCCTTCCAAATTCATTTCGTTGTACTAAATAACAGCCTTGCATTTTATTGTAGAGTTCAGTTAATGACGTTTTGTGGGTGGGGTTCCGATCCCGCCCATTTGCAATAAGAAAGTCACTTGGGTGCCAAGGAACATGTGTACCAAGTTTCAGCGAGATATTTCAAATTTTATTTAAGTTATTGCTTGCACGGACGGACAGACGGACAGACATACAGTCATCCGAAATTCAACTCGTCTCGTCATCCTAGTTATTTATATACAAATAAATACATAATTCCATATCTATCTCGATTAGTTTTAGGTGATACAAACAACAGTTAGGGGAACCAAACTATTATAGCAACATGTTGCAAGAGTATAAAAAGTATCCTAGTCACTCTTTGTCACATGAGCTATCTGCCAGTTAAAGTCCTTTCAAAATCGGACCAGCCGTTTCAGAGATTGCAGAGATGCAGACAAACAGACATTTTAGGTAAGAAAAAAAAGTTAATTTCGGTTGCACTGAAGCTATAATACCCTTCACAAATACAAAATATTCCTTACAAGAACTTGATTTTGGCCGGTTAGTTTGTAT